CCATCCTCTTACAATAAGAGCATTGAAGACGAACTTTCGTACTACCACGTCCTCCTCGACTATTGGGTCCTCCTCCTCGACCACGAGGAGCAACCATAGCAGAAGTTTCAACAGTCTCCACTTGATTCTCATCTGCCATGAGATTGGGAACCCAAATGAATCTAGTGACAAGATTATCCATTGATGGAACCTGATCGCCAACTAGGATTTGATCACGCACGTGATCAAAATCTGAATGTGATCAAAATCTGAATGCAGACTCCTTAAAATTAGAACCATATATAGCTTATCGAGTTTAGTGTTTAACTCCTCTAAGGTATTTGCTACAAGAAATCTTTTTAATTCTTCCACAACAGCCCTAGCTTTTGCTATGTGAGCCATCATGTCGTGATTAATCTGCTTAAGTGACGTCACTCTTTGAGTTGCATCAAAGAGGCGTTGAATATTGAGCTTTCTTCCAAAAGGAAGAACAGGTTTTGAATGAGCTGAGAAGCTCAAGAACTTCTGGTTCCACATACTGCCATAAGATTGCACAAAGTTGAAAGTATATTTTCTCCCACTGAGACCTTTGTGCAGCGGGAATAGAGTCTACATCTTTCTCCAAATGGTCGTGATGCCCCGACCAAGAAACCACAACTCAACTAATGCAGATCAGGATAAGTAATTTTTCCAGTTGAGTCTGGCACTAGTTATGGTGGGAGTAGCAGACTAAACCAGAAAAGACAAATAAAGTCAACGAATAGGGTTACCCACGGGACCCTTCGCACACAGTTCTCAAACCAAAAAACTAAGGGCACCACTGAACCCAGAGGACGCCAGCAAGTCAAACAAAGGTGATCGGCCTTGATCCCGACCACTGGAAGGCGGCACGTGGGACACATGCACTTGAGAAGGCTCTCTGGGACGACCACACGTGGGGCAGTTGACGGAGGAGCGGCTTGCAGGGATGGGTCCCGCTCCTCGAGGTGCGCAAAACCCCTTCTTCGTCGGTCCAAACGGAGACGCAAAACCCCTTCTTCACCGGTCCAAACGGAGACGGTGGCTGGTGATGACAACAGAGAACGGCAACCCACGGTGGCCGAAGATGACAAAGGTGACCGAAAATCAGTCCGGGATCTTACCTGCTCTAATACCAACTTGAGAAAACTTATTTAGGGTTTAATACAATGACCAAAGGCATTGATACATTATATTTATAGAAAAAGAAATACAATAGAGAGAATATGGACCTCAGCCCAAACTCTTAACCCTAGTCTAAGGAACATATAAAAAGAATACAAAGAGATACATGAACAACAGATCTCAACAAGTAGATTTATGGTTCATCCGAGGCTTTTTCATTTGCCTGCAACTAAGAGGTTATTGAGATATGTGAAGTTTACATTGGGATATGGGTAGTTGTTTTTAAAACATGAAAAAAAAAAAGCAATTTTGATGCAATATTTAACTACTATGATTCAGATTGGTGTAGTAATAAAAGTGATAGGAAAAGTAGAGCAGGATATGTGTTTATGATGTGTGGAACTATTTTATGAGCATTGTCTTTATGTGAGGCTGAATACATTGGAGCCCCATCGAGAGCTTGTCAAGCCTTGTGACTTAAGAACTTGATGGCAGAAATGAAAATTATAAGAGAAGTGCCTACAAAGATGCTAGTAAACAACAAGTCAGGTATAAGCTTGGCTAAACATCCTATTGCTCATGGAAAAAGTAAGCATGTTGAGACTAGATTTAACTTCCAAAGGGATCAAGTCAATAAAAGGAAGGAGTTAAAATATTTAGTACTAATGAACAAGTGGTTGATACTTTAACAAAGTTCTAACATATTCAAGCAGATTAGAGCGATGATAGGAGAACAATCCATTGCTAATCTGAATTATGGTTGAGTGTTGTAGACAATTCAATTAGTATTGTATGTTAGTTAAGTAGTTTGTGGGTTGTTAACTACTTGTCATAGTACAATATATAGTAATGATGTGTTGTGATACATATCTATGTGAAATATAAAATTTTAGATTCAGTACCTATATCTCTTGTTCTCTTTTCCTTTTTTTTTCTCTATATTTGTGAGTGTATTTAATATAACACGTCATAATTAGCAAAATTAATTATTCATATATCATAATATTGTAATCATATTTCCTTTGTTACCACTATGTTAATATATTGCATAAAGACACAAAGAAACACAAGAGGATAGGTTCAATTATGTTTCTTAGTAGCTTTTCCAAATTCTTTCAAAAACATGTTAGAATACAAAATTGAACAACAATATAAGATGAACGAAACTATAGTCTTAAGAATGATGTATAGTTTTCACAAAATTTAATATCTACCACCTATGAAAGATGTATAGAACTCAAAGAATCAAAGAATCAAAATCTAAAATAATTTAATCTTCCAAAAGTACCTTTTTTGGTAAGGAACAAAAATTATTTATGAAAACATAGATTCAAGAAGAGGTTAAAATCAACCAATGCTCCAGAAACAAAGCATCATTAGTATCAACTTCAAAAATCTTGACAAATTTTTGTTATAACCAAAATACTCAAAATCGAGATCTTACATAAGATTGGAAAGGAAAGTATGTATTGTAAATCCAAAGATTGTAACATGGATCATAAGATCTTATAAAACACCCCATCTTAATTACAAAACAATAGGTTTGTCCTAGTTATCAAATAGGAATTCTATCCTAGTTACCAAACAATAACCAATATAAAGCAAATAATCTTGCAAGCTATATCACTCTTATTTCTAGAACCATTCTTAGGAGGCAAGGGTATAATTTAGGGGTGGCGGACCAGCCTGTCAGCTCATCTCAAAATTGGCAAAGTTGGTTGGCAGTTTTAGTCCATCAGCCATGTTGACCAGTCCTACCTAGCTCGCCAACCTAGCGGACCAAGGGTAGGACGGATGGATTGGCTCACTAGCTTGCTTCTAAAAATATTTATATATTAAAATTAAAATAATAAATATTATAATTAAAAATATTATATTTTTTTGTGTTACATTGTTGAAATATCCAAACATATTATAATATTATAGTTTAAATTATAAATATTAACCAATTAAACTTAAATTATTAATTATAATTGGATATTTAAAAACACAAATGTTATAATTTTTTATTTATCTAATAAAAATATTAATTAATAAATAAAAACTTAAAAATTATTCATATAATTAAATATGTATTAAAAAAAATTCATATAACGAGTCAGTCGGGTCTATAACCCGTTCTAACTATAACTGGTCAACCCTCCCCACCCAGTTTTTGGTGTGCTAGAAGCGGGGTGGGCCAAAACAAGGCGAAGCTAGCCCGTTTTGTCATTCCTAGTATAATTGAGTTTGGGATTGGAGTTGAAGTCATTTTAACTTTGGTTTAAAACACAAAGTGAAGAGAATAGAGATGTGTCAAGATTGAAAAACATTTGTTGGAATAAGGGAGTAGTGAAACTAAAAGAATAGAAGAGGAAAATTAAGGATTGTTGAGTTGCTCAAAGGTTACTCATGGGAAGAATAGAGAAAAAAGGGTCGTAGAAAGGAGTTATAACACAAATAAGTTAGAGTTCTTTTGGGTGGTAATATGATTTAAGTTTAGTTTTAACGGTTAGTGAAAAAGGGAGGGGTAGTAAATTTTTTTTAAGATAAAATTTGCAGTAAAATATTGTTTTAAAGTATAAAAAGACAAAGTAAACTTTCCTTATTAATTAAAAGGGGCATAGTAAAAATTAGTTGTTGTAAGTTTGTGTAGTAAAAATTTTGTTTTCAAGTAAAAAACACAAAGTAAACTTTCTTAATTAATTACAAGGCTATTAGGGTTTCTTTGGGCCCAAAAGTTTGTGTGTTCTAATACCACAAACTTGAGCCATAAGTGTAGAAGACGCACCACTGTGCAAGAGGTGCCATTGAGCAGAAGAGGCACGATCTAGAAGAGCGAAAACAAGAAAGGCAGAAGAGAAAAATAAGAAAAGTGGAAGATTGTCAAGTTGTTGCGAGTTTTGATCTTCATCGACGATCCTACACAATCCCTAAAAAGGCGATCTAGAGAAGATGTGAACTCTAAGAAGGTGACGAAGATCATAGAAACGTACAACCTTACACTTCAACTCACAATTTTGACTACCATGGTTATAACGCTTATGACAAAAATATGAGAAAAATAGTTTAAGAGCTTGATCATCTCTTAGCTAATCCATATATTATTTATAGGAGAGATTACACCAGTATTACAAAGAGTGTAGAAGCAAAAGGCGATGCCTAGGTGTTAGATGCTAATAAGTAAAAATAACTTTTAGAGAAGAGAAGTTAACCTATCTTATTAAGTTAAGCTATACTAAAAAGATAAACAATTAACAATAACATTATAAAATTAGACAGAAATTATAAAGAAAAGAAAAAAGAGAGTTAAAAATACCTGCGTAACCTTTGAAACTTTTGAGGATAGTGGGATAACAAAGCCTACAAATTCAAATAAAAAAGCTTCAGTAAACAAGGGAATATAAAATGAATATACATTGCAGGAAGCATGACAAGAAAGCAACTAAAGAACTATGGAAACTATGTGGATTGGACTGTTAGACACTGTACAGTCAATTAGTGCTTGGATTTAGGAGCTAGATTAAGAGTTAATAATTCCTCTAATAAATCCAACTTAAAAAATAAATTTATGCAGTTTTAGACAAATCATTTACGCAATTCTATCCCTATTATCTCTATTTGCATATGACAGGAAAGCAGGTTTCAACCCATCTCTTTACCACAGGATTCAATAGCCCGCAATAATGAAATCTAGATAGAATCAAAACCAAACAGCAACCTTTCCAAGAGATCCATTAAGTGCTTTTCATGTTGTTTCTCTTTTGCAATATTATCAACAATGGCTGACAGACAAAAGCTCAATCCATGTAGTTTGAATTGGCCAAGTTTTCCCATTAAGTGTGTTTCTTGTTGTTCCTCTTTTGCATTATTATCAACAGTAACTGACAGACAAAAGTTCAGTCCATGCAGTCTGAAATGGCCACAGTGTACCCATCTTGCTCCAGCTTAGGAAGAGCCAAGCCAGAAATAACAGTGTAATCCCAAAGAAATATCACTATTCTATGAGACAATACAAAGGTGCAATTCCTTAGATGCTTTAGTTTTATTACTATTCTCCAATCAAAATTAGAGTTTCACCTCACTCAACAATATGTGTAACAAAGCCATTTCATAAAGATTAGCATAGATTACTGAGGTGAAACTTCAGTTTAGATCAAAGAACGACACCAAAATCACACACAGAACCATATCGATGTTTTCACCTTATTAAAAGTTTTATAAAACGGTCTAAAACTGCAATTTTGGCCACTAAGATTAGGTTTTTCGGACACATGATCACAATTGCAGTTGCATTTATCCGCAATTTCCAACATAGTCAAGGGCTGCTAGGAAACAAAGACAAAACTAGCCTGGTCCTATTCTATTCATGCCACATCACAGCAGTTCATAACAAGTCTGACAGTAGCGGAAAAAGGAAACAAAGCACCAGAAATTGAACAGTCAAACACAAGTTAACCACATTGCACTGCCAGAAAATCAAGCAAAAGCAGAGGACAAAAATACCTTATGGGCAGGTGGAAGCTTCCGGTAAGACCTCTCATATCTTCTAACATCCTCCTCTGCAGCATCAGGATAGCTGCATCAGAACAAATAAGTAAAAGTTTAGGCTTTACTAAGGACATATTTTTTGTAAATAATCTTATGATAAAAACAAAATATGACATGCAAAATCACAGTAAAAATTCATAAACAAACAAAATACAAAAATCTTTACTCGTACAGCTAAAGAATTCAACAACATTTTGGTAGTTTTACACTCTTGTGGCTGTGTGTGCATTTGAATTTCCACCAACAACCGTTACTATAATTTGATGCAATAACATAAACAGTAACAGACAGGAAAATTAACAAATAAAATAAAACAACTTTAAATTAAATAATTCAAAACATAACAGTTTCTCATAGAAAGCGAAATAAAATAAAAAGGAGAGTAAAAGCAAAACAGTGAATTATAAATAAAAAATAATAACATTCTTCTTCTTTTTTCGGAACATTTGAACTTGCTTTTAAATATGAGCATCCTGAATCGAAAAACACACTTCATTTTGGCTCAGATTGTTGAACGATGATTTGAAGAGTACAAAATATTGAAGAAAAAAGAGAAGGAACGAAGCAATACTTGAGGTAAGCGCTAATGATGCGTCTGAGAGATTGGATTTCGAGGGCCTCTTCAAGCTTTAAACGACGGCGTTGCTCTTCCTCTGCCTCCATCCCTGTTTCGTTCTGTCCTTCTCAGTCTCCGAACACTACAAGGAACAACTCCTCTAATAAGAATAATAAATTAATTAATAATATGATAACAGGTAGGACTAATTGGACTTGACCCAACCAATATACTTTTACAAAAGTTATTTCTTTCTACACCCATTATTTCGAACTGCACCCTATATCTTTTAAAAATATTAGTCCTTCGAAATTTTATTTGACTACAAGGTAAAATAAGTTAAAATTATACTATGCGAATAATCCAGAAATTATACACCCTAATGACACGTTAAGAATATTATAGAAAAGTATAAGTTTCGAAACAAGAAATCCAGAATTAAAAAATAAATAAATATTTCAAGTTTATGAATTAAACAATCCCCAACATAAAAAAAATAACAAAATCATTTTCAATCCAAAACCATGCGGATTAATCATAATTTCATTTATCATCTAGATGAGAGCTCCGGAAGGGAGCGAAAGATTTTCTTCATATTTTGTTGGATGTTGATAAAGAGAAGGAATGTCAAATAATTCATCTTCGTACGTAGATTCATGTTTAGTATAATGCATGAAGTAATATATGTAGGGAGCCACCATTAATATTTATCGTGACCAGATTGTTACTTCGCATTGAAATTGAAATTTGTTTACATGGCAGTTGTTTAATCTAAAACTTGGAAAAAAAAAATCCTTATTGCTAATTCTCAAACCTATTTTTTTCTATATTATTGGGAACAATTAATCTAGAACCTATTTCTAGATTGCACTTTCTCTAATTATATTTTTTAATGTTATTCTATTTTTTTAAAACGTCATTCTACAATTTATTTTGGTAAGCTCTAAAAATGAAAGTTTAAACAGACCTTCAAAACTTTTCATAATAATTGATCCAATTGTATGAATGAGAGTACATTTTTATATTACTTATTTGATTTTCAAAAGATTTCCATGATACACTACAAAAATATTGAATTATAACAAGGGGTTATTAACGGCGTTTATGAAAACCTCCGAAAATGTATAAATTTAACGACGATTTTATAATCCTATTTAATTCCCGACGGTTTATAAATTAAACTGTCTTTAACGTATTTTTTTTATTTTTTAAATTAACTTAGACTGTCCGAGATAAAGTCGGTTATAGCAAGAAAAGTGTTTATCATAAGATTATGAGATGACTGAATCTGGCATAGCCGGTTAGACATCTCCTCATAAGCTTACGCATGAACGAAATTAAATGCAGAAAAGTAAAGACAAGAAAAATAAACACACAAGTTCATGATAAGATTATGAGATGACTGAATCTGGCATAGCTAGTTAGACATCTCCTCATAAGCTTATATGAACACAAAATAAAGTTGTACAAAAATTATTTAAGTCTTTAAATGATTATCGCATCTTTTAATAAATAAAGCTTAAGGCATCCGAGGACGCCCTTATAAGAAAACTACTCCATAAGAGGGAGCAGAGAAAACTTACTTGGGGGGAGGAGAAGGAGAAGGAGAGGGGAGATGCTAAATAACTTCTCTTATTGATAATAGAAATTTACATAAGAAGTAGAGAGAAGGAGGAGAGGAGAGAGTATGGGGAATGCCTCTTAGAATGTTTCTTGCCCAGCATAAGGGACTTATGAAGCATTATATAGAAAAACAAAAATATTAAACTAATGAATAATAATTTACATGTGGGACCCACTTTATAACTTATGGATCTTAGCAAAGAAGTAAAAGAAATCCTACGGAGGAAATTTCCTCACTAAAAACAAAAATAGTAACATCACTAAAAGACATTAATACAATTTTTTTTTTTACATTTATCAAAAGACTGATTCAATCTTACCGTCATTAACATGCAAGGCTTAATGGGCCTAACAACATGTAACGGAAGAGGAATCGTGACAAGGTAGCAAGATATCATTATCTGCCATTAACCTTTGTCGTCTTTTGATACAGCCGTTTATGACGTAAGGGCTTACGTTATGAGAAGCTTCTCGAAATCTTCAAGGGCAAATTAGTCTTTGAATGGCTAATGACGTAAGAGATTACGCCATTAGAAGTTCCTCGAAATCTTCAAGGATAAAGTCATCTTTATCAGAAAGACTCATTGGTTGTGGGAAGGCGGGATTTGTACAGTTTCGCTGTACATAAGAAGCTTTGCCAAATTTCACCCAAAGACTAATGTTGGTGGTTTCGGCTAACAACTCTTTATGGATATCTTCATCTTGGAATTGATCATACCTCGCTGTAGTGAAAGGAGGATTATTATGATCAATCTTTTGGAGATTATCACCGAAAAAGATATCAGTGAATGACTCAGTATCCAGAAACAAGTGATGTTTAGCTGGATAATATTCCCCTTTTATGTTGTAGGGGTGTGTTGAGAATATTTCAATGAAATATTCTTCACTGTATATGTTTCGAAAGAACGCATTTATCCAGTAATTTATCTTGGTACCGAAAAATGGTTCTATCATCGAGTTTCTGAAAATAATCATCCTTTTCATGAATCCTGAAAAGAATAAATCTTCAGTTAATTGTTTACTGATCCAAGCAGGATCGCATTCCACCAAATAAGGGTTTATTCCGATGTTGTACTGATCGGAAGATGAGGGTGCCAAATCATCTTTATATTGGACTATCCTCAAGTATTGGCGGAGTGTAGAATCTACTGGTAATTGGAATAACCAGTTTTGTAGTGCTCCAAGTTCTATTAACAAGGTAACAAAAACCTGTTCGTAGATTTTTTCTTGGATTGGGCCGGGAAGTTGTCCCAAAAATTTTCTTTTGAATGACCCAACATAGGCCATTTTATTTGTAAAAGTTCCATAATCAATGGTTTCGAAATCATAGTCCATCTTTTTACAGAGTTCTAAGATTTCGGTTTTTAAATTTTTATTTTCTATTTCCAAACAGGAAATATGTTTTTGAAAATCATTTTTCTGAAAAGAAAAGGAGTTTTTGAAAATCATTTTTCAAAATTTTTTTTCCATTTTCTTGGCAAAAGCCAAGCGTTGTCTAAGTTTAATGGAATCATAAATTGAAAAATTCTTTTGTTTTGTTGGTTTTTCAAAAATGAAATTACCAACTTCGGGATGGTCCAACAAGCTGTTGTCACCTCCAACATAGCTGACCATCGCTTGTACTGCTTCTTCAAGGTTATCAAATCCTTGAAATTTGTTGTGTTTGTCATTACCTATCGCCTTCAACAGAGAGGGATATGATAGGTAGACGCCACGCTTGTCTCCAATAAAAAGGCAGTAGGCCTCTTTCTTGGGTTTTTTAAAAACAGGGGGCAACATTTTTGCAAAGTAATAATGTAATGCATTAATAGCATTAAAATTTTTATTTGTACTACAAGCTCGATGAAGAGCATCAAGTAGTACCTTTTGTTCCCTCGAAACGGGACAGTTCCTCAGACATTTGAATTGTTGAGGGTGACCTTCTGGTAAAACCGGAAGATGCTGTGTTCCAAACCTTAGAGTATCAAACTCTTCAGTTGTTGAGGCTGGTAACTTGCCTTTGTTGATTGGGTTTGCCATATTAGTACCTGTACAACTGAAGGAACTCTGCAATACATTTTTGTTAGTTTCCTTATCAAAAGAAGAAATTGTTGTGTTCATTAGACAATATCCAAAATCATCTAATATATTTCCTAATTCATTATATTTACTATCCAGTTGGAAATCATTTTCATTTGGATAAAGGTGAATGAATTCATTATTTGTGAAATCATTCATTAGGCCATAATCTTTATGGCTTTTGTCTAAATTGATTTCATCATTGTATTCTGTAATACTAATAACTGATAGTATCTTCAGAATCAGTAGAAACATCTTCATCTATTGGAAGAAGGTTCATGTGGCAGGATTTTATCAATTCTGCCTCTCTAGTGTAAAGGTTAGCAATGTTAGGACAATCTTTTGAGAAATGTTCTGGTTGGTTACAAGCGAAACATTTCAAAGTTTGCTTGTATGTTTTGTTGTCTCTAAATTTTTTGACGTTTCTATCAGGATTTAGAGTTGGTTTTCTAGAATTTGAAGACCTAATCGTGTAGGTCTTTCTAGAAGTTGTGGGTTTTTATCTTTTAGAATAAGAATTCTGATTGTAATTTTTATTATACCTAGGTTTATTTCTAGGTATAGGCCTTCTGTAAGGCTTATTTTGATTATACTGCTGAGGAGTATAAATTTGTTTGAAAATTCCAGCATCGGAATTTTTCAATTGCTTTTGTATAGCAATATGTGTACACGTATCTTCCATCACTTTCATGATGTGTTGTATACGTATAGAGAGGTTGTTCAACATGGGAGTAACCTCTTCATTTTTCCAGGATTCTCGGATCTTTTGGCCAAGTTTTCCTGGTAGTTTGAGAAACATCTTTTCTCCAATGCTTAAATCATGGAAACATCCAGCTATAGATGCGTACATGAGATAATCTTGTAAAAATTCTTTTATTTTTCCAAAGTATGTTATGGAAAGTCTTTCTAAATGACCCAGATAAATTTGTTGTCTGAGTGTGTTCCCATCATTAGCAGACTGAGAAGTAAGTAATTTTTGTAACAAAGAACAAAAATTGTATATGTTAGGACCTGGTTCGATCACAAACATATTTAAGTCGGCTGGGTAATTTTTCTTAAAAGATTCCCAGCAAGCTCTAGCTATATCACCTAAATAGGTTTCGACTTTAGCAATCATTTCTTGAGAAGAGTGAACATCTTTCTCATGATGTATGCCATAATCACGGATTACAGCTGCAGTCCATTGCTCAATGTATGTTGGCAATAGTTGAGGATCTATTCCTCCTATATTTAGAAGAAGATTAGGCATTTGGAAATTTGGCTCTATAGGAAGCCTTTTGCCTAATGTTGTGTATTGGTTGTCACTAAAGACAACATTTTGTGGTGATACTCTAGGTGGAAAACCGGTAGAGTAACTGTGTATACCATCAGGTAGTAATTGATAGCTGTGAGGTTGATAACTATTTGATCCCTCATTTGTATTTAC